AGTTTGTAGCTCAAACAAATCGTTCTAATGCAGTCGGTTCTAATATGATGCACAGTCATGAATCTTCATTCCCTATCAAACAGTGAAAGAGGCTGCATAGTCTACTTCTCAAACTAAATACTGCATTCTAGATGGACAACAACAACAAATGAAACTTTGATCCCAAATTTTTGTGGATCAAAAGTAAGAAACAAAAAACAAATTGATTTGCCATACCAAAAATGACATATTCAACAATGTACAAAAAGATACAATCTGCAAATTTCTCTGGTCATTGAATAGCAGCTTCTGCAAGATCAACAGCAGAACTGCATGAAGCAATGTGATCCAAGAGCTTCATATGACCAATAACTTTGAAACCAGTTTTTTCTTCCAAAGCTCCAACTTCTTCGCATCTCTTTCTTGCGATCTCCTCGAGATCTACTAACATGCTCATTTGTGGAGGGTCTTCACTGAAAACAATAAAGGAAGACCCTGGAGAAAAAACATTAGCGTTTAACCCCTCTATTGCCACCTCTACATTCTTCAAGACCTTTCCATCTGCAGCAAGAACAATCTCTTCAAGGAAACTTCGGTAGAGAGGATCGAACTGATCACAGAAATAGAAGCATAATCCGGAGAAAATCTTTGGTCCCTGTCAAAAACCATAAAGAATATATAAAAAGCGTATCTACAATTTTTCTTGCATGAAACACAGGTAAATATATATATTATAAACAGATTTTTGGTAGGATTATTGTGGATAGACCCCCTATAGTATTGTCATTTTGCACTTTCTACCCTATAGTTTCATTGTTGCATATAAAACACCGGAGTTAAATTTTTTCCTCCTTTATCCTTGGTGAAATTTAGGCAGATATTGCCCCTGGGTGAAATTTAGCGAGTCGGCCTGAGTGTAAAGAGTGCATAGCAATGAAAATACAAGGTAGTAAAGTTAGAACAGCGATACTACAGAGGGTCTATGTGCAATTAACCTTTTTCTAAGTATTACAAGTTTAAAACATATGGTGATGAAACCTGCATATTCTCAAACTTGAACATATGGTTAGAATTTTAAATTTAAACACAAAAAGGAAGTATTATCGTGAAATGGGGTGCCTGCATTAGGCACACACGTTAACAATTAAATCTACACATTTGAGACAGGCATATCTGAGATAGTAATTGCTTAAACAAATTAAGGATAAGGACCTTTTGCATTGCTCTAGTTCTTCCTTTTTTCGGGCCACTAATGGCACCATAGCAATCACGGCTAATTTCATAAGTCTCTTCAGGAACAGGGGACTTGGCCTCCATGGATGCCTTGACCCCTGCAAATGGCAAAAACACAACTATTTAGTGCACAGATGGGTAAGAAATAAATCAACATATCTAATCGTCAAAGAAATAAAACTTAAATCATTGAATTACTCAGCAAAGTAAAAGTGGCATTTATAGACAAAATATGTTATCTACGAGATAAATCATGTTTTAGGAAATCAGGAATAAATATTAAGTGCAATCTACATGATAAATCATGTTTTAGGAAATCAGGAATAAATAATTTAGTGCAATCTTTCTCAATCCTGTCTTATGAATTATTGACCACAAATAGTAATATTATTGTGCAAAGTAGGGTGTTTGGGAGAGGAAGATGGAGTGAAAAAACTCATTAGCCCTTGTTGAGTCTTATAATGAACATATTATCACGTGACACACTGTATCTAGACACATGACAGCTTCACCATGTGATGCATTGTATATAGATACATGACAACTTCACTATGTGATATATTGTATGTAGACGCATGACAACTTCACTATGTGATACACTGTATCTAGATACATGATGACTCCACAGTGCAGTACATTGTATTTAAACATGCATAATCTATATCCATACAATATACTAAAACAAAAGTCATGGTTGCCACTTGGAAAATACTTTTGACGATGGGCTCTTGAACTTATTAATTAATTATTGATCTTTTTCCAACCTGCTTTGTTATTCTCTCTCCCTATTGCAATGAGTAACAAATTAATAAGTTTCCCATTACTATTTTAATAACACTCTAATTTATAGTATAACTTTTAGAGTGAAAACAAGATCCAATTATCAAAATCATAATATTGCAATATGATTGCCACAATAATGTTGTAATACTAGGTCTAGGTCTTGTGCATTGCACGGGGTAATTGTGAAGACCATTAAATGCACCAATGAAGAGAAGTGATAAGATCATATTTAAGAGAAAGAAGTAATATAGGCAGCCTTAAATGGGTAAAAAAATCCTTGCTAGAAGCTTTAAAGTAGGGTATGATAACGATTAACTTGGTGGAGGAGATAGCCCTCAACATAATTGAGCGGAAGAGTAGAATTATTTGTACTTTTGTTGAGATAAAGCCTTTGTTGTTGTTGTAAATAGTTAGAAACTATGTTCATATGACATAAAAGAACTGATTAGCCACAATTAGTAAACACGCAGTTTCGGGCTCTTACACTCTATTGTTAGTACCCATTTTCCATTCAAAATAGCCATGAGGACGTTCTTCGATCTGCTGCATGCACCGTACTCATCCGTGGATGCAATGACATGGGTAACATTTGATTTCCATATGCTTGTCACTGATGCACCAATCAGACTTGCAAGCTTTTCAAGATCCGCCTGCATACCAATTGAAAAACATTTAGCGCACAATATCAACTCGATACCAGAAAGGCAATTCATAGTTCTTAAACAATAACTATTGAAAATTATAGTAGACATTTTTGAGAAACACAATAAATGTCTCTGAAAGAATCAAACAGAAGAAATTTTGATATAAGCTTATCAATTTTTTCGAGGGTACCGAATCTGGTGGGGAGAGATCAGATCCACATAACACCAGGTCATGACAAACACCAGGTTCAGGTGTCCAAAGTTCACGATTTTGTTCTTCAGCTATAGATGCCGACTGCCCTGGAATACTGGATTTGTCTCGTGATATGAATAAATTATCAGATAAAAACAAGTTACAGCTAATTAATGTGCAAAGAAGTACGATGAGGAAGCTGGTCAGATGCAAAACACATACATTTGAGCCGATGACCATTTTTTTTTTGCTGTCCCTCTTGTTTTGCACTTATCACGTATTCGTGGAGAACGTTTACCCTTGGTCATCCATTTGACCTTTGCTCTTTCAGATGGAAACTGGTGTGAAGAATGAGAGGGACAAAGAAGATTGAAATTTTTCTGTTTAAAAAAGTGCCAGTGTGGCGAATATGAGCATCTTGAGAAGATTGAAAGTCATAAATATCAAAACAGAAGAAGTTTTGACTCTGACAAATTAAGTAAAACCAAAAAAGGAAAATATGATCAGTAGCCTACCTTATCCCATCGACATCCTGGCAGCTTGTTGGCACATGGAACATGATAGCTCCTTTTACAATTCTTGATAAAGCAACCAAGAGCTGCCCCAGTTCGCCCACATTTGCTGCATTTAATCTTTGAAGCACGAGCTAGTTCACTCTCCAAATTCTTAGCAATCTCACCCTCAAAATATGCTTGGGGTGCCCTATAAATCACCAAAAGTAAATAAACTATTAAAGCTACCAATGGTAATGGACATCAGCTTCTGGATAGTTAAGATATTACCACATCTACAACTGTTGTCTACTGCTAAAATTCGTTGATCATCTAAGTAGTATGGACACGAATGCAAGACACGGGTATGACACAGAGACGAACACAGGAAAAGGTAATTCTTCAAGTGGAAACAGCAACACCACAACATGATATTAGAACATACATAACTAATATATACGCACACACACACATCATGATTTATACCAATAGAGTCTATATCGTGCATACATACATGTGTCCATGCATCTAAGAGCTGAAAGAATATAAACAATTATTTCTGGTAATAGAAAGCACATATTAATTACATCTTGCTACTTTTTTGACCTACCATGCATTCTTATAACTTTGTTGTTTGCAAAAGGTATATGACCTGACTCTTCCACTTTATATAAGATGTCAGTGGTATCTAAACTCAGGTTTACACAGAGTCAATACTTCATAGTTTCCACTAAGATTTTGGTGCGTAAATGGAAAAAGAAAAAAAGATAATCTTAAACATGTAATATAAATAAAGAAGTGCATGTGGAGTGTAAGATATAAGATGTGTATGATGAGCACTTTCAAAACTGTTTTGTATATTGTTATATGTTTGATTAAGTGTATGCACATATCAAAGAAGTGAACAAAGAATGTGTGGCTGTTGAAGTGTCGGACACAGGCTGCTTCATGATAGAAGTACCCATGTACATGTCCGATGTAAACATGCCCATCTACATTTTCGGGGTTGGGAGTGTAGACGATCTTTATAAGCAACCAAAATTTGTGGCAACGATGATATGCAGGCTGTTCTACTATAATAATAATAATAATAATAATAATAATAATAATAATAATAATAATAATAATAATAATGTACCCATCTACATAGTTGATCACCATATCACCATTACAACAGAAAAAATAAGCTACTGGGGCAACTTTGAAGAGGCAAGGAAAGCTTGCAACCAAAAGGTAGTGATATACACTAGCAAAATAAAAGGTATCAATTAAGTTAAACTTTAGAATTGATTAGAGCATACCATTCAAAGCATTTCTCATGAACATGCTTGATGTTTGACAGGTTTATTTCTTCCTTTCGTGCAGGTTTTTCATTAATGTAATGCTGCATTAGCCCAGTAAACTGCAAGAACCCACAAATTTCTAAGAACCCAATAAATAATGGAAAGCATTCATGCAAGGAACTACATGATTTAAAATGAAAGAACATTAATTGTTAACACAGGCTCTTGCAATAGATAGAAAATAACCAAATATGCACATGTATGGTATGCTGTGTAACCTTTGTAATCTCAGAGGAATGACAAAATGCGCATTTCACAGCTGCATCAGCATATGCATGATCAGTGATACCAAGTTGTTTGTCATTACAGTCACCTCCATGCTCTATGTTCAATTTCTGTCTCTTTACTTCTCTAACATTGTCTGCTTCAGATGGGGAAACAGGAATATGAGTCTTGGCACCATTTGATTTCCCGGATTGTAAAGCCTCACCAGCAGAAGGATCTGTAAAAGGAAACTGTGCAACTTGTTTTTTTGCAGAGGTCTGAGCTGTCATTTCTTCGGGCAAACCCTCTGTGGATAATCTCTTAGAATCCTGTGATGGAGTTTAGTTTTAAGAATTAGAGATATAAAACAAACAAGATGTAATATTCAACAACCTTAGGGAGCAATTAACTCCTTCAGTGTAACCAAAGGGTGGATATCTCCACCTTTTTAGTCAACAAAAGGAAAGATAAGAGGGATTCGTTATAAAATCACGGGAGGAACATAATATCCTCTGGCTTTGGCACATATCATGAGGCTAAGCATAATGTTATACTTTATTTAGTAAGCTATCTATAAACTTACACGGTTACTGGACCGGTCTCTGTTGTCTTCCGGGTTCTTAGAATCATGGATTGACGGCGGAGTGAATGGTTCCTCTAGGTTAATGAAGGTGCCATTTCCAGTATCGCAGACACTATTTCCAGCATTGCAGGTATGAGTTTTGCTACCAAAATTTACAAGTTCTCTGCTTGCTAAACCATCTCTGGGCATAATTGCAGTCAGGACTCTGGAGGGGGATGGATGTGATTCTAAATTGTTTGGACTTTCATTAAATAAGTTACGTTCCAGTCCTTCCAATTTCTCTTTAGTACAATTATTGCCTGAAAAAGGACTTTTCTTTAAAATTGTCATAAAAGTATGATCCAAAGAATAGATAAACCAGAATGATGAAAACCCTATTATCAGAAACATGGAATTTACTTTCATGTAAATTTCTCTTCAAAGAAACACCATTTTGTAAAATCTCTTTGCTAGCACTCTGCCTTGAGAGATGATTAGCTTTATATGGCAATTCAATGCCTACGAATATGACAATAAATGCAAGCAAATTATCAAACAGATCTTCTTTTTATAAAAGAAAAAAAACTCAGTAGATCAAATAGATAACCTGAAGAAAAATTCGTGTTACGACATGTGTCAACTTGAGACCCTTGTCTGTTCTCATCAGCATTGTGATCTGAACTAAGAAAGGGAACCATCATTAGTAAAAGTATTACTACAGTGAATTAAGGCCATTATAACACATATTAGCCAAAAGAGCAAAGCAGATATGCAAATTGAAGGGTAATCACTATAACCTGCTATAGATTGACGGCCTTGTTCCCGAACACTAAAAAACATAGCATCATCCAGGGCTTTGAATATGCTTATAATTCTCTCCAGTTGCGTAAAAGGTTTGATATCTATGAGAAATCGCCAAAAGTTTATAAAATAACAAAGTAATTTAGTAACTCGATCTAGGGCCAGTACGTACCTGCATGAAATAAACTTCGGCAAAGAGGACATCTCTTATCTATAACGCACTTTCTGCGTGTGATCAAGCGGACATGCATAGCTATATTATAAGTAGTTCATTAAAAGCATCACTTACACATAACACACACACACACACAGAGCAAACCTGCAAACCATGTGACTACAAGGTAGCAATGTTGGTCGGCATACTATAGTAGAACTGCGACATATTGAAAAATTCCCGATTAGTCTAATCGACAATGAATACTATTCCACAAGGTAATATGATAAGAATTGGGTGAGATTAATAGAAGTTTTCCATAAATTTATTTTAGAAAGGATAATATATTTGAATAGCATTGCTTTGATAGACATAGGATTTCTTTGATAGTCCTTAAATCTATACCAGAGCACAATTATGGATGTTGGAAGCTACATTATCTTCGGTGTT